CCACCATGCCCAGCTAATTTTTTGTATTTTTAGTAGAGACGGGGTTTCACCATGTTGACCAGGATGGTCTCGATCTCTTGACCTCGTGATCCACCCGCCTCGGCCTCCCAAAGTGCTGGGATTACAGGCTTGAGCCACCGCGCCCAGCCGAAATTTTCTCTTATAAGAAAATCATGCAGATCACCTTTCAATGATTTGCAAAGGGAAATGAATGTAATCTTATGAGAAGTTCACATGACTCTACATTACCTGTGGGATGAATGCATTAAGCCTTTGGTGCCATGCCAGACTACTTTTTAAATTATAACTATTTTGAAAAGAGCAATACAATTGCAAAGAGTAATACAGAAGCAAACCTGCATTTGGATTTCTTCTCCTCTACTGTCTCTACAGGCTTCTTCCATCGAGACTTAAAACCTGAGAACCTCCTCTGCATGGGACCAGAACTTGTGAAAATTGCAGACTTTGGTTTGGCCCGAGAAATCCGATCAAAACCTCCATATACAGATTATGTATCTACCAGATGGTACAGGGCTCCAGAAGTACTCCTGAGGTCTACCAACTACAGCTCCCCCATTGATGTCTGGGCTGTGGGCTGCATCATGGCTGAGGTGTACACCCTCAGGCCACTCTTCCCTGGGGCCAGTGAAATTGACATGATATTCAAAATTTGCCAAGTGCTGGGGACACCAAAAAAGGTAATGATACAGAACAAAGGCCAGTGGGCCAAAGCCAGCAGCTTCCCATGCTCCCTCCGCCCAGCCCTGTTCAGCACTGGCACCATTGGGCACCTGCCCATTCTAGACTCTTTGTCTTGACCTCAGTCATTCTCCACTGCCCACGTTCTCAGACACATTTGGCTTCTGTTCTTCCTCCTGAAGTATGACATCTGTCATGGCTCCCTCTGCCTTACTCTCTATATCATCTCACCTCCCTTGCAGAACTCCTCGGTTCTCATTGCTACGATTCATGCCTGTTCAGACTTCGCTTGACCGTAATCCTTAGCCCCCGACTCCCTACATTATTACTCCACTCACATGTTTCCAATTCTCTATGGGATTTTCTCCTGACTCCCTCACCATCACCTCAAACTCATCATGTCTGAAACATTGCCTTTTGTTTACCATCCTGCTAGCTTCCTTCTTTCATTCTCCATTTCTGTTTGTGGTACGATCAGCATCCCAGAGCCCCCACCTTGAGGCTGAATTTCAGCTTTACCTTCTGTCTCTCTCTTACTCCCCTTTTCCTTGATCCAAGCAGTTGGTGGGTAAACGCTGTTGAATATTGCCACGTCACATGTCTCACACAGCTCCCGTCCTTTCAAGTCCACTGCTGCCATCACAGACCGAACCACAGTCACCTACCTATGTCTAATGGTATCTTCTCCATCTTTCCGCCTTCAAGTATTTTCACCCTGGCTTTTTGTTCAGCCTGTGGCCAGATTCAACCTCCTAAAGGACAGCTCTGGTACTGCCTTCCCCTTATAAAAGTATTGGTTGACTCACCATTGCCCAGCCTCGTAACTCCTATTCCTATCCCCACTTCATACCTGTACACCTACCAGCTGCGTGCCCTGGAATTTCCCTGCTTCTGTGCTCTGTACATTTACCCCCTGCCTGAGTGATGTCTGTCACATAGCCATCAGTAATCCTCTTTCTCATGTTTCTCTAATCTCCTCCCCATCTTCAGCTGTGTTCTGTCTTATTAATATAATTATTTGTGTTAATAAGTTGTTTCCTAGACCGTAAGCTCATTCAGGACAAAGATTTGCTATATGCTTATTTTCCCAGGTCCCAGGACCATTGCTGATACAGACTAGATCCTCAAAAATTGTTTTAAATCATTTGAATGAATTACTAATACTGCTTCTTTAAGAAAGTTTCCTAAGTCCACTGCTGGAATCTTTCTCCTCTGTGTATCTGTACCTGTACCTCTCTTGCAGCTTTTGTCACTTTTTTTTTCCATTTATTTATTTTATTGCATTTTAGGTTTTGGGGTACATGTGAAGAACATGCAAGATTGTTACATAGGTACACACGTGGCAGTGTGATTTGCTGCCTTCCTCCCCATCACCTACATCTGGCATCCCTCCCCTTGCTATCTCTCCTCAACTCCCCACCCCCCACCGTCCCTCCCCTATTTCCCCCCAACTGACCCCAGTGTGTAGTACTCCTCTCCTTGTGTCCATGTGTTTTCATTGTTCAACACCCGCCTATGAGTGAGAACATGTGGTGTTTGATCTTCTGCTCTTCTGTCAGTTTGCTGAGAATGATGGTTTCCAGGTTCATCCATGTCCCTACAGAGGACACAAACTCATCGTTTTTGATGGCTGCATAATATTCCATTGTGTATATGTGCCACATTTTCCACACTACCAGACTTCAAACTATACTACAAGGCTACAGTAATCAAAACAGCATGGTACTGGTACCAAAACAGAGATATAGACCAATGGAACAGAACAGAGGTCTCGGAGGCAACACAACATATCTACAACCATCTGATCTTTGACAAACCAGACAAAAGCAATGGGGAAAGGATTCCCTGTTTAATAAATGGTGTTGGGAAAACTGGCTAGCCACGTGCAGAAAGCAGAAACTGGACCCCTTCCTGACACCTTTCACTAAAATTAACTCCAGATGGGTTAAAGACTTAAACATAAGACCTAACACCGTAAAAACCCTAGAAGAAAATCTAGGCAAAACCATTCAGGACATAGGCGTAGGCAAGGACTTCATGACCAAAACACCAAAAGCATTGATAACAAAAGCCAAAATAGACAAATGGGACCTAATCAAACTCCACAGCTTCTGCACAGCAAAAGAAAACAGTCATTAGAGTGAATCGGCAACCAACAGAATAGGAAAAAATTTTTGCAGTTTACCCATCTGACAAAGGGCTGATATCCAGAATTTACAAAGAACTAAAACAGATTTACAAGAAAAAAACTAACAAGCCCATTCAAAAGTGGGCAAAGGATATGAACAGATACTTTACAAAAGAAGACATACGCGAGGCCAACAAACATATGAAAAAATGCTCATCATCACTGGTCATCAGAGAAATGCAAATCAAAACAACATTGAGATACCATCTCACTCCAGTTAGAATGGCGATCATTAAAAATCTAGAGACAACAGATGCTGGAGAGGATGTGGAGAAATAGGAACACTTTTACACTGTTGGTGTGAGTGTAAATTAGTTCAACCATTGTGGAAGACAGTGTGGCGATTCCTCAAGGACCTAGAAATAGAAACTCCATTTGACCCAGCAATCCCATTACTGGGTATATATCCAAAGGATTATAAATCGTTCTACTATAAGGACATGTGCACACGAATGTTCATTGCAGCACTGTTTACAATAGCAAAGACCTGGAACCAACCCAAATGCCCATCGATGATAGACTGCACAGGGAAAATGTGGCTTTTGTCACTTTTTACTCTGCATTATTACTCTGTTTTTAATTAAATGTCCTCTTTTATCTTTTAGAACAGTAATATCTTTAAGGGCAGGATTTATATTGGATCTCCAACAACACTAAGCATATAGGAGGCATTCTAGAGCTATCAAGTGAATGAATGATAAAAGCTATACATATTGCCACTTGACTTTTAAAAAGAGTGGGGGAAAAATTACCTTAGCCTGTATGTTATAAAATAGAAGAGTGTTAGAACTCAAAGGAATCATAAAGACCATTTCTTTCGCATTTTCTATCATTCACCCAACATTTAGTGTCCCACAGAAATGATGCATGAAAAAGTGGAAAGTTTGACACTTTTGAGACTGGGTGAAGCACCTTTCCTTACTGCTGGTCTTCTCCACATGTATACTTTGAATCATCAAGTTGAAGATATCATAAGTAGAGTTTCACATATTTATTTGCCCAGGAACAGGATGTTTTGTTTTATTTTGTTTTCCCCCAAAGAATATCTCATTGGCAGTTTCCAGAACCTCTGTCTCATGGAACACAGTTGGGGAAATATTAATTTGGTTCAATCCCAAAATCTCAACAGATGGGCTATCTTACATAAAGATTATAAAACAAGTTGGCAAATCTGATATCTTTTCCACTCCTCCCCAGATTTCATGGTTTTGGTAATCTTTCTATTTATACAACTCTATTTCTCATTCCACACAGTGCCATGGTAATGAATGTGGGTGGTTAATGAATGTGAGTGGGTAATGACATGGTTGCCTTTCCATTTGGGGCGCACACACCAGAATACAAACTTACATCACAGCAATTGGCTGAGCAAGGTTTTCTATCTTTTCCTTCTTTCAGACGGACTGGCCTGAAGGCTACCAACTTTCAAGTGCAATGAACTTCCGCTGGCCACAGTGTGTACCCGATAACTTAAAGACCTTGATTCCCAATGCTAGCAGTGAAGCAATCCAGCTCCTGAGAGACATGCTTCAGTGGGATCCCAAGAAACGACCAACAGCTAGTCAGGTTTTCCTCCATTTTCTTCTGCTTGATGTGCTTCTTATGAAGTTCATATCTAACTCCGAATAATTTCATTAAATTGCGTAGGAAATATTTAGTATTATGGGTGAGAAATAGTACAGAATACCACTAATGGTGTACTACATAAGGTATGAGAACTTAAAATAGTTTGAAACTTACTGGGTATAAAGTAATTAAGATGTAAACAATATAGTTGCTTTGAAAATTGGCATATAGTTCACATGATACATCACCATTTGTATGGAAATGGAAATAAACATATATTTTTCTGCCTTTGGAGAATGTTTTCAAATCTATTATGAGTTACAATTATATAGTAGTTTGTTTATAAGCCAGTACTGGTTGTTAAAATGTAACTTCATATCATGTAAAGTCCAACTGATTCATGACCTAAAGAGATCAGATGAGGTAGAGCTAGGAGAGTAACTGCACTTAGCATTTCATAGCACTTTACAGTGTGCAAATGCTTGAGTATGTTTTATATGATTTTCACTTGAAATGAAGTCAGGTTCCCTGACTTCCTAGCTCCTGCTTTCCCAACGACTTAGACTTAAATAATGAAATATAACCAAAAGAGGTGCGGTAATGCTGTGGGCTCTTATCACTCACAGGCCTCTTGCAAGCCTCCTATTGTGGTAGTTATGTCTGGCCCCTTCTCAGCTTGTCGCATTGACAGTTACATTGCTCAGAGGATCAAATAAATGACCAATTCTAAGCAGAGAAAATGATTCAGAAGAAGAGGAGTGATGAGGATATTTGAAGAAAGTGCCAACATGGTGGTAGAATTTGTGATAGCAGGGGAGATGATAGCTGGAGGAATAGTTAAGGAGTGTAGAAAAGCGATTTCCACAAGCTCAAGGAAGAAATAACCACAATTTGGTGTCATAAGACTTTGGATGGCTCGAGAGTTAGAAGGCTCTCAGAAATGCACTCCTGGTGGTGAGATTCACAAATATCTGCAGGGCAGGAAAGCAGCTTTTCGATGAACGCAGTTTTTTAAAGGATGCGTATAAGAAATGAAAAAGATTCTATAACCAGAAACCAAGAGAGGAATGTATGCTTTTAAGAATAGTGTGAAAAGCTAAAAATACCCCCCAAATCAGTTAAGACTTGCAAAAATGTCTGCAACTACAGAGAAGGCTTTCAAACTATAATAGATGCTAATGTCTGGGACCTCTACCAGGTTATCCCCATTAATTGCCTCTGTATCTACACTTGCATATAATCATCACAGATGTTTATAACTGTCCCAGGCTTGCTAAGAAAGATTATGCTATCCTTAATGACTTTCATTCAAAAAGACGAGAATACAGGGAATATTTCAGAAAGAATTGTAAACCCCAAACCTTAAGTTATCTCTTGGCTATATAGGAAACTCAGTTATCCAGAACAACTGACAGGGTTTTGTTCTTGATAGAGAAGGTTTAACTATATCATGTTTTACACTTCTGGCACTTTCGGGATAAAACCATATGTGCCTGCTTATTTTGTGCTCAATTCTTCAGTGTCTTCCAGGATCATTATGTTCGGTTCTTTCAGTTTTTAATTATTATTTTTTTCTTCTTCCATGGAATGAGGAAATAGGCTTAGAAGGATGAAGTACCCTATTTAAGACACATAGCAAATGAGTTACAAAACCAGGATCTGTATTGATCCAGAATGCTTTTTAGAAGTAGCCAGGGTAACAGCAGTGTCACTGGCTACTATATAGAAATGATTTTGTGTTGCAATCATTACATATATTTTATGGTATCTTAGATAAGAAAAATCACAAGCGTATTACAAATTCAAGAATGCTGTTTTCTAGTTGGGCTAAGAAACAGTAGTAAACTGGTCACAATGAAATATAGCCCAGTAATCAAGATAGTAGCAACTTTCCTGGCTAGACTTTTCTCCTAAAGCCTTCTTTGTCATTCCAGGCACTTCGATATCCTTACTTCCAGGTTGGACACCCACTAGGCAGCACCACACAGAGCCCTCAGGAATCAGGAAAACCACAGAAAGGCATCCTGGAAAAGGCAGGCCCACCTCCTCATATTAAGCCAGTCCCTCCTGCCCAGCCACCAACCAAACCACACACACGAATTTCTTCACGACAGCATCAAGCCACCCAGCCCTTTCTGCACCTCACGTACCCCTACAAAGCAGAGGTCTCCAGGACAGATCACCCGAGCCATCTCCAGGAGGACAAGCCAAGCCCGTTGCTTTTCCCAGCCCTCCACAACAAGAATCCCCAGTCGGTGAGCAGCCCAGATTCACTAGTGAGCTTTGTGTCTGCTTATTCCTCTTCTGACCCCACTTATTATGTGACATACTTTCTCTTTCCGTATACAGAGTCTAATCACGGTAGATTTACGTTTGCAACAGCATGGAATTGTGAAAAGACCCTTGGCTTTGGAGTGAAAGATCTAAATTCAAGTTCTGGATGTGCCTGTTAATAACATTGTCACTCATGGGGACAGCTGTAGGGTAGTGGTTGGGAGCTGGCCTCTGCAGCCAGACCACCAGGGGTTCAAATCTCAGCTGTGCTATTTAATAGCTTTATACCTGTGCAATTTACCTGGCCTCTCTGTTCCTCATTTTCCTCATCTGTAAAGTAAGGATAATAATAGTAGCTAACTGCTACAACTGCTTTCAGGACTAATGAGTTAAAACTTGAAAAGAATTCAGAATAATACCTGGCACCTAGTTACAACTCCGTAAAGGTTAGTAGTTGTTATCATTCATCCCTGTGGACTCAGTTTCCTCATCCGTAAAAGGAAGAGTATAGTGCACATCTTACCTACCAGACAGGGTTGTTCATGAAGATCAAAGGTCATGATATTTATAAGATGTTTTGAAAAGCATAGAAGCACTGTATTAATATTTATAATTGTTACCCATATTATTGCTGTTAATCAATACTGTTAATGCTGGGGTATTAACTGAGCCCAGATCCTTCTGCTCCTCTTGGGCTGGTTTTCAAGAGAAAACAATGAGTGTTAGATTTAATAAAATAATAACCTTACAAGGGGTTCTGTTTTTTACTAGCTTTGCAGTGCTGCCTGAAGAGGCCAACTTTCTATCACTTGTTCGAAAAAGTGGCACTTTCTGTGTCGGTCAGTATTTGCTGAGTGCTGGCCCCCAGCCACAATAGTGTGAGACATTGCCAGATCAGGGTGGCATCTCTGGCCTGTTCACTTTATTCCAGCACACAATTTCGAAGTGGTGTGTGTATGGAAATGTCCTGTTGTAGCTAATTCTTTATAGCTAAGAGATAGTAACCATATCTACTGAGAAGGAAAAAAAAAAAAAAAAAAAAAGCATTATCTGCATTGATTTCTGTAAAAGGTCAGGCAAGCTGACATCTTAGCCTTAATTTCTTTCATCCATTTTTATAACAGTAGAAATCACATGAACTCATCTAGGATGAGACTGTGCATGAATCTAGTCACCTTTCTGGTGTGTGAGAAATACCTTAAACATTTTTTTATCCTTATTTTATACAACTTTAACGTCTTCAGTGGATGGCAGCTGATGTGATCCATGCAGGATGAGTGAGACAGAAAGATTGGGAATGTGTTTTCCACAATTGCCCCTCAGATCAGCAATGCTATGCCCCAGGAGCCTCCTTTGCGTAGCAGAGGAAATTTAGAATGGAGATTACTCATGGATGAGTTCCATTAATGCCAAGTATTGCTTCCCCCACCCCACCCCACTTGTTTACACAGAAAATCGCAGCTGGCCTGGAACACAAAAATGGTGAGATAAAGCCAAAGAGTAGGAGAAGGTGGGGTCTTATTTCCAGGTCGGCAAAGGATTCAGATGATTGGGCTGACTTGGATGACTTGGATTTCAGTCCATCCCTCAGCAGGATCGACCTGAAAAACAAGAAAAGACAGAGTGATGACACTCTCTGCAGGTTTGAGAGTGTTTTGGACCTGAAACCCTCTGAGCCCGTGGGCACAGGAAACAGTGCCCCCACTCAGACGTCATATCAGCAGCGAGACACACCCACCCTGAGATCTGCAGCCAAGCAGCACTATTTGAAGCACTCTCGATACTTGCCTGGTAATATAAATGACTTGGCTTTACTTTGACTTTTGATGAGAAATCCTGTCCTTGGAATCACGTATCACTCACAAAGATTCTGTTTTAGAAGGCAGATACTAGGGGATTCCCTTCAGAACTGAGGGACACATCACAGAAATATTTGCTGAAGCCCAAGCTTCACATTTTTTTTTTTTTAAACGGAGTCTTGCCCTGCTGCCCAGGCTGGGTGCAATGGTGGTACCTTCGCTCACTACAGTCTCTGCCTTCTGGGTTCAAGTGATTCTCCTAACTCAGCCTCCCGAGTAGCTGGGACTACAGGTACCCACCACCACACCCAGCTAATTTTTGTATTTTTTACTAAAAATGGGGTTTCACCATGTTGACCAGGCTGGTCTTGAACTCCTGACCTCAAGTGATCCACCCACCTCAGCCTCCCAAAGTGCTGGATTACAGGCATGAGCCACTGCGCTAGCCTCAGGCCTCATATTTTTATCTTTTATAGTCACTCAAGATACGAAATATGGTATAGGAAACTGGGTCCAGCCTCCAGGGAGAAAGGAACTGGCAAGAGCTGGGTGGCGTGTCTGAGGCCCCTCTACCAGACCAGGTTTAGGGGAAATTGCCAATAGGGAAACCAGGACAGAAGCTTAGACACACCATCCTGGCAGTAATATGGGGGTTAAATGTCAGTGCTATAGTTTTGTGGGTTCCCAAGCCTTTCTCTTGATTTTCTATATTCCAAACATACATTAGTGAATCATTCATTCAATACATGTGTATCAAGCATCTACTGCATGCCAAGCACTGGGAATATTATTGCAAACGAAATAGCCAAGCAGAGCCACTCAGTCGCACAACTCTGGGAAATTCCTTCACGTGGTCTACACAGCGGTTTTATACAGCAGCTTTGCAAACAACACCCTCACCCTCACACAGCTTACATGCTAGCGGTGGGAGTGAGACTTTAACAGATAGACACACAGTAATCACAGATCGTAAAAGAATGGTCAGGTAGGGCCTCTCTGAACAAGTGACTTGGCTGGGCCCTAAAGAATGAGAAGGAACCAAATGTGCAGAGAGCTGAGGGCAGAGCACAGCAGGGAGAGGGGAACAGTGAGTGAAAGATCTGGAGCCAGGAGTGGGCTTGTCCTGTGAGAGGAACGGCAGAGGCCAGTGTGGCCAGAGCACTGTGGGAAAGGAGGTGACATAACGTGTAGTATGAGGCATCTTTTGGGGCCTTGTAAGAAATTTGAATTTTACTTCATGAGCAGTGAGAAGTCGTTGAAGGGTTTTAACTGAAGGAGTGATGTGGTTGTACCAACACCTCTGTGCTGAGTAGAGGAGGGGCCGGCAAGCTGTAGCTGTCATCCAGGTGAGGGGGATGGCAGCACAGGCTGGGGTGCAGTCAGAAGGGAGGGATGGGGTGGGAATGACAGGCCCTCCTGATGCATGAAATTCCTCACCGTCTGGGAATGTCGTCTAAATACTGCTAAACTTCATCAGGATTGACATTTTGGTCTTAGAAGATTGGCCTGACAGGCCCCAGGATGATCCAGAAGAGAGATCCAGATAACAGGTGTAGGGTGATGCAGTAGGCAGCGCCAAGCCTTGAATTACAGTGACCACGGGCAGAAAGGAGCAGGGAGTGAATCTGAGAGCTTTTTATTTCTTTTTGGTTGTAGAGGAAGGAGAAGAAGGATAAAGGGGGAATTTAAACTGTCAGTTCTGAAAAATAGCTGCAGTGCCAGTGGGAATGGGAGTGATCTGGAGGAAACGTGGCTTTTGTCCTGAGGTCAAGGTCAAGGCAGTCCCATTCTGGGAGGCCTTGGGTGTGAGGGACCACAGTCGGTGAGAGTTCCTTGTAGAGACCAGAGTCATCAGCATGTGAGGGTAGCAATGGTCCTGGTTGGGTGAGAAGAACCCTGGGGACAAGACAGAACGAGGAGAGCAGAGAGCTGCAGAGTTGGAGGCTAGGGGTTTGGGATGGAGAAGTAACTGAAAAGGTGACTGAAAGGAAGTGGTCTGTAAAGGGGAAGAACAGAATGTCCAGCAGCTGCAAAGCCCAGGATGGCACAAGAGGGTCAAGATGTGGAACAGATCCATTGGTAGAAGCGGAAGAGTCCTCTCTTGGGCACCTATAAGTGAGACGTCCTTCCTCTGACATCTGTCAGATGACATCATCACACTCAGTTTTTGTTTTGATTATTGCATTATAGAGTGTTTTTGACAAATGGCATTCTGCATTAATTTCATCTTTGTAGTCTGGTATAAGATTCAATGTGTATTTTGCATTTTAATATCATTTCCTCTCTATTAGGGATAAATATAAGAAATGGCATACTCTCGAATCCTGGCAAGGACTTTATTCCACCTAATTCGTGGTCTAGTTCTGGCTTGTCTGGAAAATCTTCAGGGACAGTGTCAGTAATCAGCAAAGTAAATTCGGGTGAGTAATGATCATTAACCCCCAAATTTGCAAAAAACAAATTCCCTGGATGCAGTAAGGTGGGCACAGGGAACCATGGGACAAGCTTTGGAAGCACAGGGGCCTTTGTGGTCTGAAAGCTCAGGCCTCTTTTCCAGCCCTATCCTCCTGTCTCTTTCTTGGCTGTGGTCCCTGGGGACTCAGCCAGCTCCCATAGGAGTCTGCCTTCAAGGGTAGCTGGGGAGTAGAGCACAGTCTTCCCTGGCTCAAGGGAAGGAAAGGAAACAAAAATACCTGGACAGACTCCTACTAGGCCGGACGGCCAAGGCCCTGGCTGCAGCAGGCACCCTCCTTCTGAGATAGAAGTCACCCTTGGCTGTGTCTGCCTTGTTCCAGCCCATCCCCTCCTTCTGATGACCCAACTGCAGACCCAGTATCAAGATCCCTTCTAGTTGGAAGGTGGACAGTTTGGAAGGCCCTCCCCACTCTTTTTGTTAAATGGATGAATGAATTTCCTGAGTCCTAATGATGACCAACCCTGTTCACAGTAGAAGCGTTTCCCACATCAGTTTTCCCTCACGAAGGCAGCCCCTGCCAGGTGCTGCTTCCCCTCTGCACTGCCAACTGGGCTTCGCTTCTCCCTGCCCTCATCCATTAAGTGTTTGTTTATCTTAAGGAATACAAAAAAGAAAGAGACAGTATAGCAATGCCTGTATAGCCACCACTCAGCTTAAGAAGTCAAACTTTGGCCAGGCAAGGTGGCTCATGCCTGTAATCCCAACACTTTGGGAGGCTGAGGCAGGCGGATCACTTGAGGTCAGGAATTCAAGACCAGCCTGGCCAACATGGCAAAACCCTGTCTCTACCTAAAATATAAAAATTAGCCATTCATGGTGGTAGCAGGCCTATAATCCCAGCTACTCAGGAGTCTGAGTCAGAAGAATCACTTGAACCTGGGAGGTGGAGGTTGCAGTGAGCCAAGATTGTGCCACTGTACTCCAGGCTTGGTGATAGAGCAAGATTCTGTCTCAAAAAAAACAACAAAAAACAAACAAACAAAGTTAAACTTGGCAAATGCACATAAAGCCCAGTGTCTGGGCCTTTCCTTCCCATCCTCCCTCCTTCCCCTTACCTCCCTCCATGCTAGCCTAATCAAGTTTTTATTTGGGTTTGTATAAACTTCATAGTGTGGTTTTGCAGGTTTTAAAATTTATTTGAACATAATCTTGGATCACTGCTTCATGCATTTTAATAAATATGTGTATAGCTATTATAGAGATATATATTATATAACATATATATATACACAATACCATAACTTATTATTTATGTAGACTATGATTTATGTATGCCTTCTCTTCTTGATAAACATGTAAGTTGTTTGCAATTTTTGCTACTAGAAAGAGAGCTGAGATGATTATTGTACCCTATTGTTATGCACAAGTGTCAGGATTCCTCTGGGTATGATAAATAGGAGTCAACATTTTATTTTATTTTATTTTTTATTTTATTTTTTTATTTATTTGAGATGAAGTGTTGCTCTGTTCCCCAGGCTGGAGTGCAGTGGCACAATCTCGGCTCACTGCAACCTCTGCCTCCCAGGTTCAAGCAATTCTCTTGCTTCAGCCTCCCTTGTAGCTAGGATTACAGGCGTATGCTACCACACCCAGGTGTTTTTTTGTTTGTTTTTTGTTTTCGTATTTTTAGTAGAAACGGGGTTTCACCATGTTGGGCAGGCTGGTCTAGAACTCCTGACCTCTGGTGATCCATCCACCTCAGCCTCCCAACATTCTGGGATTACAGGTGTGAGCCATCAGAGTCAACATTTTAGGTTAAAGGGTGTGCTCATCTTCAACTTCACAGATACTGCCAAACAGCTCTCCAGCGGGATATGGGAGTTGCTCTGCATCCTTGATGCCACTTGGTACTGTCTGACAAGTGTGAAATGTTGTCCTCTTGTGGTTTAAACTTGCATGTGCTGTTTACTAATGGGGTTCATCATCTTTTCCTGTGTTTGTTGACTATAAGTTTTTTCTCTTTTATGACTTACCTATTCAAATTATCTTCCCATTTTTCTTCATTCACCAAAGTGTGAAATGCACTCCCGCTGACCAACACAACTCCTCACACAGGCATTCCAGCCTGTGTTTCCTACTCTGCCTTAAGCAGTTGCTAAAAAGCCTCTGTGTTGTGGAAACAGAGCAACTGTACCACTTATTGACTTTTCTTAATGGATAGAACTTCCATTTTTATAATGGGCAATAATGACAGTCTTCATTATTCCATGTGTACCTTCAAGCCTTAATAATAAGAATTATAGATATTCATTCACCCATCCAATATTAACTGATTACCTGCTATATGCAAGGCATTCAGTTATCCTCCCCAGAGTACAAAGATGAGTAGCATACAGTCCCTGCCCTTAAAGCTCTCCCAAGTGGAAATGACATAAAAAGTGAATGTATTTAGTATTTTTTAAAATGGTTAATTTTTCTGATGTGGATAAGAATATTTAGTATGTTATTACTTGTCACAGCTAAATAATATAACCTGTGTGTTGATCTGTAAGAAAATGGTTAAATGGACTATGGTTTAGCCATACTCTAGAATATATATATACTGACATGGAAGGATAGCTATATTATGGAGTGAAGAAAGCAAATTTTAGAACAGTCTAAAGCTACTCTTACAAAAGGAAATAAAAAATGTCACAGCCAACCAACCCTGCATTGGCTGCCCCCTACAGGAGCAGCGCTGTCTTTGACCCTTGCAGTCTTTGTGACAGGGTCAGAAAAACTAGCCATGCGTGGTGGGATGTTCGGCTCAGAATTCATTTTTATCACGATTTGCTATTTTCCCTTAAAGTAAAAACTTGGTTTGTTATTGCCCTGCAATGCTGTCATTTAACCTTTTGATGTCCTGGGTCCATGTCTTTGTGGTAAAAGAGCTTTTTGCTTTTGCAAATCAGTTGGTTCCAGCTCTACAAGTTCTAGTGGACTGACTGGAAACTATGTCCCTTCTTTTCTGAAAAAAGAAATTGGTTCTGCTATGCAGAGGGTACACCTGGCACCTATTCCAGACCCTTCCCCTGGTGAGTTCTATTTTAAATGATTCATGAATTGACTCAATAAATGGTTACTCAACAACTACTCTTGACATGATTGTTCATCTTACAACTGCATGTTGTAGGCTTGGGATCCACCAATAAATGAGACTTGCCCTCTACAGATAATAAGTAAGCTGAATAAGTGCTATATAACATATAGTAAGTCAGATGCTTACTGACTCACTGCCAAGAAGAAAAATACAGCAGACAGGAGGTAGGGATTATGGGGGTTGGAGTGTGGGGTACAGGTTGCAATTTTAGATAGAGTAGCTAAAGAAGAGCTCACTGCAAAGGAGTTGTTGAGTAAAGACCTGGAGGAGGTGATTGAGCAAGCATGCGGTATGAGTGAGGCTTTTCCAGACAGGAGATTCTTCTGTGCTTGAGCTTTGAGGCAGAACTGGCCTGACAAATTCAAGGAGCAGGAAGGACGCCAGAGTGCGGGAGTGACATGAGTGAGAGGGGGCGTAGCAAGACGAGGTCAGGGGCGGTAAGCATGTTGTCATGGATTCTGAGTGACGTGGAGCCCCCAGAGGGCTTTGAGTCCAGAAGTGAGGTGATCTGACAGCGATCTTCACGGGCTCCCCCAAGCTGCTGTTGTCATTAGACTGAAGCAGGGGCAAGGCTGGAAGCAGGGAATCCAATTAGGAGGATGTTGAAATTATCCAGGCAAGAAGTGATGCTGGCTTGGGCCAGTGTGGTAATAGTTGAGCTGGTAAAAAGCTACCAGGTTCTGTAAATATTTAGAAGGTAGAGCTAAGAGGATATGCTGACAAATTATATGTGGGACATGAAAAAAAGAGGAGCCAAGAATCATGCCATTATTTTTGGCCTGACAACTTTAAAATGTTGTCTTTAACTGCAGTAGAGAAGATTATAAGAACGAGACAACTTGCTCCTCTTGAACTTCTTATTTTCTCATGTTTTTGTCACCAGAATGCAATTCTTTGCACTTTGCTTGCATTGGCCCCATATCAGTCCTGTCAGCCTTTTTCTTTCATTGCAGGTTATTCCTCTCTGAAGGCCATGAGACCTCATCCTGGGCGACCTTTCTTCCACACCCAGCCTAGAAGCACTCCTGGGTTGATACCACGGCCTCCAGCCGCCCAGCCAGTGCATGGCCGGACAGACTGGGCTTCCAAGTACGCATCTCGGCGATGACTATCTGCCTTGGTGATGAATCTCTTCATAGGGAGAAGCAGGACGCTTTTTCTCAGCTGACTAATGTTCTACCTGCAAGACATGAAGAGGGCATAAAAGCAAATCAACACTTTATAGTTATTCTGAACTAAGACATGTCAATATTCTTTTTTAAAGTTTTTGTTTTTTAATATTGATTTGAAGGCAGTATGCTTTTTTGTATAAAATTATTTTATTCTAAAACTGGGTCCCATTATTTTCTTAAACAACAGCATTTTGTATATATGGATTATGTTTTAGCATTTTATACAGTCAGCTTTGTAATGAACTTTTAAAAGATTAATTGATTTTCCTTTGGGGTTCCAGATAATATTTTATACAGATTTTGAAAAATGTAATAATATTAATGCAGTATTGCAACAGGGGTGCAATTTAAGGCTATGTGATAGAGGCTCAGTGTGTGCAGTTATTTATGAAGTGGTTAAATTTTAAGTATGGCTCACTAGGTACTTCAGGCTTTCTTGGACTGTTGCTAGAAAAGTGATCCTCTGCTTTTCTTAATAAGTCATTGGTTTGGTTTTTGGGTACCACCCTGCTGCTGCTCTAAAAAAACTATTAGATAATTGGCTTTGTTTTATTTTTGTTCCCCAGATGAAAGAAGACTAAATAAATACATTTTTAAAAATTTTCCCTTTAATGTGGCTAAAAATTTTCCCATTAAAAAACACCCTTTAATGTGGCTTCAGATAGCAAATGAAACCAGGCTTAATCATATTATGCCGCCGGGCGCGGTGGCTCAAGCCTGTAATCCCAGCACTTTGGGAGGCCGAGGCGGG